CTGGCCTGTTGGGGACATACGTCCCCTGAAGTAGGGGGAAAGCGTCTCCAGTTGCCCAAGTCCTTGGAAACTTTCGTACTGCCCTTAGCCAGCACTCCTGACGTGACGGTGGCTTCCTTGACATGGTTTCCTGCCAATGGGTGGCGACGGTCGTCCCCAGGCATCGGCTGCCTGGTGTCTCGTGGTGCCTTCCAAGATGCTGAGTTACTCTGTGTCTCCTGACGTACGTCTCCTGATGCTCTGCTTGCCTGCTTAGATACCCCATGAGAGGAGGTCGTACGTCGACACCGCTTACTGCTATTTTGGTGCAGGAGCCGAACGTCGTCACCGCCTTGGACCACTCTGATGGTATTTGTCCCTAGACGTTGGGCTTTGGGTACGGTCGTCTGGTGAGCCTCAGGGGTTAATGGACCGGTCCTATTTGGGCCATTTACCCAACAACCCTTTAGAATTCAATTTAATTGTTAATTTGTTATGACATTCTTGATTGATTGATAAATGCAGATTATTTCAAACTAATTATGTATAGGCTTTGTTTTGTTATTAACGAATGGGTGGAAACGCTGACCTAATCTGTTACAATTTGTAGCGTTTTTAGTATAATTCATGTTGATGTTTTGGCTAAAACACCAAAAGCCAAACATAGTCATAGTTTTAAATGAATTCAAACGCCTTTCTTCCTCACCATATGGATGTACCATCCCATTACTTTTATTAAAATACAAATGGAATTTTATCAAATTCAGGACCTGAAAGATAGATAAATTATCAATCCGGGATCTGAAAGATGAAATGTATCGATATATGACCCAAATGATGGAAAACTGTCAATTTAGGACTTGGATGATTGGAAATTATCAATTTAGGACCTAAGTTGTCCAAAATTTTATTAATTTGTTTATCTTAAAATTTTCAAATATTATCCAGTTTTATGAAACTAATAAACTTCTGTGAAGAAAAGTTTATCAAAAATTAGCAGTGGAATTAATAAAAAATTAAATAAATCAAAACCTATGAAATTTTAGGTCGTAGATTGATAGTTTTTCATCATTTAGATCCTATACCGATAGATCTCATCTTTCAGGTCCCGAATTGATAATTCATCTATCTTTCGGGTCCTGAATTGATAAAATTCCACAAATATTCCATTTAAATAAACATGTATGCGCAATTATAATCACAACAAAAAATACGGGATTGACACAGATTTCGCACGGATTTATCGATGATTTGAAGTCAAAAAGCTCGTGCCAAACTGTTTTTGTCATGGATTCGGCATATCTCTGCCAAAATCCCTATCAATTTTGAGAAATTTCTGCCAAAAGTTCCTGTCAATCCCGCGTTTTCTTTTTGTAGTGAACTATTATCCGTTGGGGTGGTTATAAATTGAATAAAAATTATCTTTGAGTAATGGGTGGTTAGTGGTTACGGAGCAAGAAATTACCCAATAGGATGAGTATGCATAACGAGGGACGGATCCCCGCCCCCCTAAGGCTTCCAAAAAAATCTACTATATATGTAATATTTTTATAATTTAATTAGATATATATGTTTTCGCCCCCCTTAATTTTTAATTTTCAAAATTAATATATAGCCTTACATAATGTAATTATTAATTGGAGATTTAAAAGAAGCTAAGTAACATCTAAAATAATTCACATAATTTAAATAAATAAGTAATAGAACAACTCATTGTTTAAGGCTCAGGATACCTATTATATAAAAATTTCTAGTTTTGTGATGTTTAATTATCTTTATTAGATAATTAGCACTCGATTTTGTAAAATATCAAATGATACTCGATTTAATGTGGAGTATTAAATATCACACATTAGTTAAACAGTTTTTAGATCATGTGAAGTGAATCTAAAATGTAAATGTTTATTGAAATTAAATTACACAATTCATTTATTTCTTACTTTCTAAAACAATTTGTTGTATAGATAAAAAAAACTTTAACTTATTTTGACATTAATACAAATATGATATGCACAATATATATGAATTAACATTGCTACGTATAGTATTATTCTAAAAATAATAATTTCATACATACTATTCTAATATTAATGAAACTCCTCTTGACCCACGAACACCCTCTATGTTATCAAATAAAAGTTATCTTTCATTGTTAAACTTAGAATGTACGGAGTAATAAATTTAAATTTCATCGTGTATGTACTAATGGATTTTTTTGAAAAAAATCGTCCAACTACACCAGCAAAAAAAATTGTCCCACTACACTGTTTCGTTAAAATATCCTTTTTAACATGAAACGCTTGTTAGCCCATAAACAAACAATGTTTGAGAGAGAATTTTTAAATGCTCTTTTCTTACTCATATACTACGTAGTATATTAATTACGTAGTAAGTATAGCGAAAAATGTGAGCATATCAACTATTCAACTTCAATAGATCATGTCATCATTCATCAATGTACTACTTATGAGTAAATGCTCACTAAGCTTGCTTAATAATGTAGGTAACCGTAATTAATTAAATATAAAAATTACTCCATTAAAGCTAGTATGCAGACATCCCAACACACTCATTTTTAAAATCAAAGGATGATCCACCCAAATACTTCGTATGTTTTCAAACTAAAATGTGTTTTAAGTGTTTGGTCCAAATGGTGCAACCGTTGGGTAATACATAGCCCACAATCATGTATTAACTTTTGGATTTTGCATTACAAAGCACCATTAATTGGGTTGGGTTGAATTGATTTTGACCATGATTGTGGCATTTTTGAGCGAGAAAATTGCCAAAGTTTCCACTCTGTTTTGTGTATAGATAGATTGTGACATTTTTTAGCAGGGAAATTGCCAAACTTTGCACTCTGCTTTGTATATAGATATATTTTGAAATAAGTCTTAGAAATTTGAAAAACGTAAAATAAGGGAAAATGTAAAATAGTTAATCTAATATAGCCGTATGCTTTTCTTTTTTTCAAAAACTGAGCTTGAATATGTTTGTTCGATAAATAAAAATGATAATTTTGATTTTTTTATCAACAGAGTAATGGAGAACATCAACTGTTTCTGGTATTTTAAAAATATATATTTGTAAATATATGTATATAGACACATAACTTGATTTTTCTTACATTTCTTTGTTATTTGTGTAGCCAAATGTACTCCCATCAATATTTCATCATTATTGCACCAAACATCAACAAACATTCAATATTCTTTTTTTAAAAAAGAAATATTCAATTTGCTAACCACTATTCCAAGATTGTTTATTTGGAATTGCCTGGAAGGACACCAACACCTCACATTTAAACCAACAAGGAGACAGTTTTATCTCCTTGGATCTCCTCATCCGTTCGGCACCCCCAAAGACAATCTTCATCTCCTTCTCCATCGTTCAGGAATCAAGCCTCACACCATTCGATTCTCCATCATCATCAATAAAAGTTTAACCGACGACCTATCGATGTGTGGAGACACACTGCTTCAATCGATCTATACACTGTGGACTTATCAAGTGCATCCTACTGAACAGGTAAAAAACTTTACTCGACGAAAAATTGAAGGATGAATGGATGAAGTGTGGAATTGAACTCACAGATTGTGACATTTTTATACTACAACTTCTGTGGCGCTCTGCTGGTTCGTGAGCAAGTACCCCAAAAAACCCAATGGTTCATCTCCCGGGCCAACATAGTGTGTGCTACAATCCTGAACAATCTGTCACTTCAGTGCTTAGACGTCCTACTATCCACGCTACTAAGTTTCTAGCTTGGATGAATGCAAATAATTTGTATCCTCAAGCTAGGAGCTTAACTTATGCTGAATTTCCTACAAAGTTCACCTGGAAAAACAATACAAGAGAGTGGGTACCACGACAAAGAGGCACCGCAATTGGAAGACTATATTTCATGCGTCCAGGAGCAAGGGAGAAATATTATTTGAGGATGCTCCTTGGTGTCGTGAAGGGGCCCATGAGTTTTGAAGAACTCAGGACAGTTGATGGAGTCATACACTCGACGTTCAGAGAAGCTTGCTCTGCCCGTAGTATGTTAAATGATGATAAAGACTATATAGATGGACTTATAGAACAGAGTCATTGGGCAACAGCACATGAACTTCGCGTCACATTTGTTCATCTTTTACTACAAGAGTCATTATCTATGCCTGGTATGGTTTGGGAGAAGTGTTGGCCCTATCTATCTGATGATATACTCTACACTATTAGGAAGAATCTCAATGATCAAGGTATGTTATTATTTAATGACATTCCTTAAATTTACATAAATTTAATAAATGACGATATTAAGAGTGATGTAGATTTACAATAAGCAATATATTATGAAACTAAAAATTACCTTTTCATATATTATAGTTAAAGATCATTATTCACTAATATAAAAAAGTTGAGACTTTTTATTGTAATAAATTAAATATTGATCTCAGGGTAAAATTTATTTTTATGTCATAGATAATTTTTAAATATGAAGTACTTCTCTTAAAAAGTGTTCAAAAATAGTTCATTATATATAAGTTAATAAACTTTTTTTTTATATAGTAGTTGGTTTAATAATTTGTTTCCAAAACACCATATTTGCAGATGAAAGTCAAATTGTTTATGATACACACAAATTCAATTATTTAAGCATATAGAAATTTAAATAATATTCTAATTACTTCTTAAATTTATTAATATTAAAATTGCACTAACCATTATGTTTTTTTACAGAATTGCAGCTCGATGAGAAGCAAACAGAGAATTATTGTTTGTTGGAAGTTGAGAAACTTCTACAACATCGTGGAAAGTCTCTATTCTACTATGACGGAATGCCTCGAGTGACGAATCTTGACATTCCATCTCTTGATGATGTTTTGATACACGAGGAATTGAGATATGACAGATTTGCTTTGGCGGAGGAACATGCTAAATTAATTTCCGCCTTGACGGAGGATCAAAAGCGTGTTTACGAGACAATAGTAACTTCCGTAGAGGCCAACCGTGGCGGTGTGTTCTTCTTATATGGGCACGGCGGTACAGGTAAAACATATCTGTGGAAGACCTTATCAGCATATATAAGGCATCAAGGAAATATTGTGTTGAACGTAGCTTCAAGTGCGATCGCATCATTGCTGCTTCCAGGTGGAAGAACGGCACATTCCAGGTCAGTTTTTTTAGTTTTTAAAACTTATAATTCCAAATGAATACTAAGACAATGAATTGTAACTCTCAGGTTTAAAATCCCACTCATAGCAGCAGAAGATTCAACTTGCAACATAAAACCAGGAAGTGCACTTGCGAAGCTGATTCAAATGACAAAATTGATAATTTGGGACGAGGCCCCCATGACTAATAAGTACTGCTATGAAGCTCTTGATCGGACTATGCGGGATATTCTTCGACATTCATACGGTTGTGATGGGAGCAAACCTTTTGGTGGAAAGACAATTGTCTTTGGCGGAGACTTTAGACAGATTTTACCGGTAATTCCAAAGGGTAGTAGGCAAGATATTGTGCAGGCGACTTTAAACTCATCCTTCATTTGGCCGTTTTGCAAGGTACTGAGGCTAACGAAGAACATGAGAGTGCGAAGTGGATCAGACGATCTTAATTTTGCATACATACAAAGGTTCATTGATTGGATTTTAAAGATAGGGGACGAGGTTCTAGGTGACAATGAGGATGGAGAATCATATATTGACATACCCGAAGAATTCCTCGTGCCTTGGATTTCTGATCCAGTTACTTCTATTGTCCAGAGTACATATCCCGATTTTTTAGCACAATGCACATCACCGTCATATTTAATGTCAAGAGCAATACTTGCGCCAACAGTTGACGAGGTGGACAAGGTTAATGATTACATGCTCGAACAACTACCATCAGAGATGAAGACATATTACAGCTCCGATTCTGCATCATTATCTGATTCTGATAGTAGTTTATCGCAAGAGATCCATTCTCTAGAATTCCTTAACGGAATCAAATGTTCCGGAGTACCTAGCCATGAGCTCAAATTAAAAGTGGGTGCCCCTGTGATGCTTATGAGGAATCTTGATCAATCATTGGGTTTGTGTAATGGCACTCGACTTTTAGTGACCCGACTTGGAAAGCATGTTATTGAGGCCCAAATGTTGTGAGGGCCAACTGCTGGCCAAAAACATTTCATTCCCCGTCTTACCTTGACTCCTTCTGATGTCAGACTGCCATTCACTTTCCAGCGCATGCAATTCCCTCTGATGGTTAGTTATGCGATGACTATAAATAAGAGTCAGGGCCAGTCATTGGAAAATGTGGGCATATTCTTACGGCGACCGGTTTTCACCCATGGGCAACTTTACGTTGCTGTATCAAGAGTCACGAGTCCAGCTGGTTTGAAGTTTTTGATATGTGATGATAATGGTAGACCGACAAACTCCACATTAAATGTTGTATACAAAGAGGTCTTTACCAATTTGTAATATTTCATTTTGTCTTGAATAAAATTGAGAACATTATAATTATAATTCACAGAGGGAAAACAATATTATGCGCTCATTTAGAAAAATAATTGAATTATTGTCAAAATAATTCAGTTTTCATCCCGTGCAACGCACGGGTTAAATAACTAGTGGTTCATAACATGAATCAACTTGAAGCACACATCAATAAATTTGAAAGGACAACACAGTACAGATTATTACTAACTATTTCAAATTTTTGAATCAACCGCGAAAGTCAATTTCTTAAACAATTCATAATTCACAATCCAAAAATAAATTTGAAAGGACAACTCAGTACAAATTATTAAGATTTCACGATCGTAATACGCAACCTAATTGAAAAAAGAACAATTCTGTCTGATCTGCAGTACAGTGCAATAAGTGCGCATTTATGGCAATAAAGTTGAGCTCTTGCTTGTAACCTGACCCGGCCCATAGTTGGCCCAATTGTATGGGCGAGAAAACTGGCTTGATTTCCACCTCCTTTTGTATAGAGTAAGATGATTGTTCAAAAAAGTTCCCAGAACTTTATTAAGGCAAAATTTCCTAAAAAAGGATTACACCCATCCCCGAGGGCTCACCAATCCCGACCGACGGTACGTTGGGATGATGTAAATTGGACTATAATCCGAATATGATAGATAGAGAGTGGGGCTCTGTCCCCGGTACTTGCAGAGGCCCTATACATATTTTAGCATAATAACCCTTCATCGCAGTTGCCGGGATTCGAACTCGGAACCTAACTCTTGTGGCACTCCCTCACTATGAGTTGAGTTATGCCCATCGGTAAGGCGAAATTTCCTAATCTTTAAAGGCTGGGACATAAATCACACAAGTATAATGTTTTTCTTTTGTCATCGATCACCACATGCTGTCCTTACTTTTTCAAAAATTAACTAACAACTACGCACCTCATTAATTCATACGCTGTAATACGAGAATATACAGCCGGCCCGCTCCTATTACACAACCCTGACCACAATTATTACAACTTACAATCACATTATGCAATATCATAACCGTAATTTGTGATCTTATTTTAGTTTTTAATCTGTTTTTGTAGAAAACAGTGTAAAGCGTCAACATTTTCGGGATTTAGAGCGTGTTTGGTAATCCACGTCTTCAGTTATCGAGATTTACTTTGCGTGCACAATCGTGTAACAATTAAAATAAGTAAGGTTGAAATTACTTTTACAATTGAATTAATGAAGTTATTGTAGAAGACTATTCTAATTATTTGTTCATGTAATTTTTTCTTAATTCTATTAATAAAAAAGGGTTTTCCTAAAATATTACTAATGAAAAATTTATGGATTAAAATGTGACTATAATTACTATGTGTAAGAACCCGTTCGGTAATACTGAAATTAGCTGAATCGGCTGATTCTGAAGTGGCTTTATTGACTGATTCTGCTGAAGTGGCTTTATTGACTGATTCTGCTGATTTATTAAAAAATTATATTCAAAATAAATTTTAGTAATAAAAAAAAATATATGAAAATATAGCTAGAGTGGTCATTTACAATAACTTCAGTCTATACAACCAGGAAAGTAACTTCAATCTTACCTTTTCTTATTATTACACAATTCAACGCGAAAATCAAAAGTTACGTGTTGATTAAAAAGTTGACTGATAAGCCAAAAAACAGAATCATCAAACAAGCTCTATGTTTTATACTCCCTCCGTTCCTGTTAAAACTTCCAATTTTCCTTTTTCGTCCATTCCAATTAAAAATTTCACTTTCCATTTTTAATAAATAATTTGTGGTTCACAACATTTCTTACACATTTCTCTCTCCTCTGCACAACTCTCCACCGCACAATACACACTATCTTAAATTGTGTGTCAAACCTATTTGGAAGATAAAATAGGAACGGAGGGAGTAGTTACTGTGATGTATCATTTGAATATATCATTTGAATCACGTTTTTGTCTATTACTTATATTTATTTGTTTATATATTTGGAGTTATTTCTTAAAAAATATATATTTTAAATATTTAATAGATTCCACCAATTCAATCAAGGTTTCATAAATTCCAGCCATCACTGAGACTAATGGTTTGCGTAACTCGCTTATAGACATTAATTGTCGGTATGTGGAGTTCAATTTTATTTTTTCGAAATGCAAGTTAATTTGTTGGTAGACATGGATTGTCTCTATAAAAGTGTATGCAAAACATTATGTGTAGCTATAATCTTTCAAACTAATTTTAAAAAGAAAAATACTTTAGACGGAACAATTTTATTTTACTACTCTCTCCGTCCCAATTTGTTTTGCAAAATTTCCTACTTTTGGTTATCCCAAAATGGTTTTCTATTTTCTATTTTCGATATGTAAATAAGAATAAAGTGATAAATTTATTGTTACTTTTACTTTTATTTCATTAACTTAAAGACATCTACTTTTAGGAAAATGGACAAAAGTGTAAAAAGCAAGCATCATCATTTATTGGCATTCATTGAACCTTGTGCCAGTCAAAGTTTATTTGAAGATAAGTGCGCAGTTATCTTCAAGAATTTATTTGAATGTCTTCCCGATTGAAGTTTTAGCTGAAATTTGGTATGAGTCAACTAGACTTAATGAATAAGATGCTTAAAAAGTTTAATCGAAAAATTTCACCGGGAACCGCCCCAAATGGCGTCGGCCGGACAGAACCTCCTATATAAGGTCTTATTTGACATTTTTTTGTAAGTTCGAGGCCCTATCTGACCATATTCTCATAACTTAACTACGGAGTACTTTATAAATTTAAGACAATGATAGATGATTTTAGATCACAATGAAAAATAAGAATTGGTTTGATAATCTTTATTTTCAACTTATCAGTCTTAACAATCATATATTTTAATCAAATACGTAAATTTTGTATTTTCTCGCTGTGATAATCAGAATAAGTAAGATTGTTAAAGTCACTCTTAGTTATTGTTGAATTGACTGAAGTTATTGCAGATATGATGACCGTTTTAATTTTTTTTCGCAAATAGTTTGAGGCTTATCCGCCCTTTTTGTCTATTCATATATTCAAAACTTGAATAGAGCAAATGGACTACTAGTAGTAAATAGTGCTCTTATTAGTGCTCTTATTCAACACACAAGTCACCAACTATGTTTGGCTGATGCTCTGATGCTCATACGATTTCCCTTTTGGGGATTTGATTGGAAATTGAATTCCACATCCTTTTCTACCCCACTTCAAGATTTGATTGATAAATCATAATTTAAATCCAGACAATGAAATCACACAGGGGGAAACTAACAAAATCTGGATATTCATTTATTGGAACTTACCCCTTCACTTTCTTGAATTAACACAGGCCATTATTGGAGAATATACTATACTGCCATCCCAATTCCAAATCTTAATATTGACCTATCTATCTATGTTGCGTTCATCTTTGGCTTGCTAGCTTCATCATGTGCTAACAATAATGACTACTTATAATGTGTGTTTTTTGTTGATGTGATTATTCAATAACAAAAATGTATACATCATACTGTCCTAGTCATGTTTATGTATTTTAATGAGGTTTTTGGGCTCCTCACAGGGAGCTGAATGTTCTTTAAATCTGCTTTATTTTATTTTTGTGGGTTTTGGGAACACACCAAATCCAAACTGAATCAAATTTAATCAAGATCCCGTTTGATAAGTCTATCTTTCGGCTTATCAGACTTATTTATCACCTTTTACACAAAACATAACTTTTGAATTCGCGTGTTGAAATTTCGTAATAATAAGAAAAAGTAAAGTTGAAGTTACTTTTCCGACTTTATTGGCTGAAATTACTATGGATGACCGTTTTAGCTATTTATACACATAATTTTTTCTTTATTTCATTAATTGAATATATTTCAAATGTACTTTTGTTCATAAATCAACAGAATCAGTCAATCCAACCATTTCAGCCAGAGTTTCATAAGTTTTAGCAGAATCATCAGATTCAGTCTATTTTGGTATTATCAAACAGGTTCTAAGTCGACCCAAATCAACCGAAATATAGTACGGGGTATGATTTTTGTTTGCTAATGATTCTTCCGATCCATTTCAACCTAATAAAAAACCGATAAAATAGAAACTGATGTCACCCCTACATAATATTGATTTGTGTTGGTTGGACTATAAAATTTAAGCTTCATCTTGTAATCCGTCTGATATACCATAGTATAT